TCAAATTAATTTTCTTTCATATTTGTTGAAACATGTAGAATGAGAACGATGTTGCAAGTGAAGAACAAAAGTTATCCCACTAGTGTGTCACGGTCTTTTTTTTTGGTGGTAAAATGCAAACGTAATTCATTTTCATGTTTACGAATTGACATTCTGTCACGGGTGAGATCTTCTTTTGTTACAAGAGCCGATAAACTCTCACAAAAAAGCTGCAACAACAAAAAATGCATTGCATTTAATTAAGGTTCGTTGTAGGCCAGTCTAGTGAGCACAGTGCGATAATGCTCCATCACCCGCACCAACGCATTAGTCTATCACCGCTTTTCGTTTTGACTAATTTGACCCTCCGGAAACGTGGTAGGCCTCCAATGCCGAGGCCAGTCGTGCGGGCTGGATGGCCTGGGACTGAGGAAACCTAGATGTAGGCCGTTCAGCTACTTGCAAAGGAAAAATAATGTTCATAACAGCGCTGTTTTCACAGAAAGACAAATCCAAACAATAAATCATAATAAATTGGCCTTCTAAAGGCACGAAATTTTAAGCATTAGAATTTATTACCAATTACAAGCAACCATTGGTAAAATAATGTAGAGGAATTAATTGACCAAAGACAATTAATTTTGTTCACACCAAGGGTTTTATAAATAAACAAGTTGCTTTATAATTAACAAAATATGATTTATTTATTTATTCATTTATTTATTTGTCTAGAAAATTATTTATATGCAAGTGCATTTTTTTCAATTTCAGAATACTTGTCAAATGATTTTATTTTAACTATGCAAAAAGTAATGCTGCACCGCAAAACTGTCTTTCAAGGGTAAATAAAACAAAATACAGATCTCAAGATTCAAGATCATACCAACCTTATGAAGGCACTTCCTCGTGATAAAGCCCCCGTTTGCATTGTGTGAGAGGAGAGACGACTAGATACTTTCTTCTTCTTTTTTTTTTCACTGACAGTTTATCGATTCATCTGCCCCAACTGAAGGCTGTAGCGTGCTGTGCTGACTCGACCTGTTTCTTCGAAAGCTATTAAGTTTTATTTCAGTGTCATGAGTGTCTGCGAGTACGCACGCGGGCACGCATAAGTGTCTGTGCGTTCTTGGGTGCGTTCGTGTGAGTGTGTGTGTGTGTGTGTGTGTGTGTGTGTGTGTGTGTGTGTGTGTTTGTGTGTGTGTCTTTTTGTGTGAGAGAGAAGAGAGAGAGAGAGAGAGAGAGAGAGAGAGAGAGAGAGAGAGAGAGAGAGAGAGAGAGAGAGACAGACAGACAGACAGACAGACAGACAGACAGACAGACAGACAGACAGACACAGACAGAGAGAGAGAGAGAGAGAGAGAGAGAGAGAGAGAGAGAGAGAGAGGGCAACCATATAGAGGCTATTATTTGTCTTGGTTGTGAATGAAACACGTTTAATTTTCGTTTGTTTTTGTTTGCTTTGGGGGGGGGGGGGGTAATTTTTATTTAACTTTTTTTCTTCTTTGATTTGGGTTTCTTTTAGCCGTCGTAACGTTGTTGGTTTGCGGGGTTTTTTTGTGGGGTTTTTTGTTTTGCTTTTTTGTATTGTTTTTTTTTTTTTATACTGCTTTGCATCCCTCAACTTAGTCCGAAGAGAAATCAAATCTGAAGGGATATCGAAATTTGAAGCCTTTCTTTTCTTTATAAGATTTAACCCTGTTGGTATACGCCCTGGGGTCATTTTGTACCCGCCGGGTTGTATTCTCCACATTTTAGAATACTTCTAGGGCAAACATCTCTTTGAAACTTTCAGTTTTTCTATAAAAAAATCATTTTGACAAACTGCTGTGCAAAGCGAATAGATTTCCTCTTTGGAAAGTGATGGCACTAGGTTCCCCACGTCGTATGGCTACGATAGTAAAACGTACGGGCACATCGCTTTTTACAGTAGAAAACACATGTTTGAAATTCAACACGAGTCACAAAAGGATTCAGACCGGATTTAGAGTGTCACATCGTAGAAAGGGCATGTAATTATTAACTATTTCATAGGTTGTAAGTTTTTTTTCCAACTTATATGAACCTTAGATTACATGTTGATCTAGTTGAGAGTTGGTTTGTTTGCTTTCTCCGCGAACAAGTGTCCCGAGCTACAATGCTGTACGGGAACAAACCCTATCTATACACGGAGGTGCAAAAGTGGGTATTCAGTATCCCTTTGTTATAATACATTTGTGTACTTAATTCATTAAAATTGTCAGCACTTTCTGTTACAACGTAATTGTTAGTCTGCCTGTTTTTATTTATTTATTTATTTATTTATTTATTTATTTATTTATTTATTTATTTATCTATTTATTTATTTATGTATTTATTAATTATTTATTTATTTATCTGTTTATCTATCTATTTATTTATTTATCTGTTTACATTATTTAATTATTAATTAGTTAATTTTATTAATTTATTTATTTATTTATTTATTTATTTATTTATTCATGCATTTCTTTGTTAGTTTATTTAGTTCTGTGGTATGTACTTCCAGTTTCATTAATAGTATTTTGTCGTAACTAATTCAATATATTATGCTAATGGCTTTATCAAGTATTGTCATAATGATGAGATATTTATTGTTTACCTAATTGATTGTGTTCAACATTATACTCTGCCAGTAAATTTTGTTTGTCATTTAATCGGTTGGTTTTCAAGAAGTTGCAAAGTGTGCATCTCATTCGTTTTGGTAGAAATATTGAAAACTTGATATTTTTCGAACACAGTGGTTCATTTTTCCCACTTATTCACAAATGTAATGTCCTGGTTTACTAGTGTTTCCTCAAAATTTCGTTGAAATTGGTCCAAAGATGACTGAGTTATTGGCTTCAAAATGTGGCCTCTTTTTTATTAGACACACGTTATTATCTCTTTCAATTTATGTAAATTTTAAAAATAACCATACTGATCTTGTGGCTGCTCTGAACCGAAAGAGCTGCACTGTTGCTGCTGCTACTTTTGTTTTTGTTATTGCTTTTGTCGTTCTGGTTGTGGTTGCTGTTGCTGTTGTGGTTGCTGTTGCTGTTGTTGTTGTTGTTGTTGCTGTTGCTGTTGTTGTTGTTGTTGTTGTTAATTTTTCAAATTTTATTGTCATTTATCATGTCGCCAGCCTTGGTACTCGTTTTATCCACATTGTTGTTGTTGTTTTTTTGTTGATAGAGACTTATTCAACTGTAGTGGTTGCTCTTGCTACAGTTTTTGTCTATGTGGTAGTTGTTTGTCGTCGTTGCCGTCGTCGTCGTCGTTATTATTGACGCTGTTGCTGTTGTTATTGTTGTTGTTGTCCTTGTTGCTGTTTCCATCTTTTTATTGACAGTTACTGCTGTTCTATATGGGAATAGAAGGCCTACAAATACTTTAAGGAGGGACTTAGATTCAAAC